TATTTTCATTAAATATTAAACATATTTCAAATTTGTGTTCCTTGCAGTAGTATTTACGCTTCCCTTGATAGTATTGATAGTAAATCCCCAAACAATCGAATTGTGTGACATCAAACGAAGAGAACGTAATAACAGAGGTCTCTATACAAACTTTGTGAACAATTTTTCTGAATAGCTGCTACTACTATGAATGTGCAATTCTCCAATCAACACACAACCACGTGAACATTTCGTTCTGAATAGCTGCTGCTACACAGTAAATCCCTGCTCAACTCTCAAAAAAGTTTTGCTCACATGTGCCATTACAAAGTTAACCTATATAATTTGCATATCAGACTGATCCTGGTCTTTGGCTATACGTTACTGATAAGGACTAAACGTGCGAAAATGATCATCCGTGGTTGCTGAGGAAGACAGTCTGCATTTTGAATTTGTATCACTCTTTTGGGTGGGATTAGTCCAAACTGTATGTTTAGGTTCTCTCTGTAATGGCACAGCTGAATCAGCTAAAATAAGTTGAGAACTGATCAAGGACCCACCAAAGAGCAAGCTATTTGAGCAGTTGTCCATTCACTGTACTCGCTTATACCTTGAATTTTTAGAATAAAAAAATATGGCTTCCCAAATATATTTTACAAAGCATTCAAAGATTATATAATTAAGGAAATAACCAATGCATTCAACAAGATGGTAAAACAGAACTCACTTCTAAAGAAATGCTATGTGCAAACATTATTCCTATCTTAAAACCAGAAAAGAACCCACATTTAGTAATAAACTATCTACCAATATCTTACGCATTCACATTGGACTCCAACAGACTCCAAAAAATAATAGAAAATCTGATTCATAAGGATCAGACAGGCTTTATCAAAGGAAGACCCTCTTCTAACAATATTAGAAGAATGATCAACACTTTAGAAAATGTGGAAAAAACTGGAGTCCCATTTCTGGCCCTGTCACTAGATGCAGGGAAATCATTTAACAGGGTCAGATGAGAATTCCTAAAAAAAAAGTCTGCATTAAATGCGGCCTAAAAAGGTGGATATTTGCTGCAATTTGGGATTTGTATATGAATCCTAAAGCAAGAACGATTGGAGGGGGGATATCCTCAGACTGGACTAGACAGGGATGCCCTCTCTCCCTATTATTATACATATTATCTATAGAAGTAGTGACCAACGATATAAGAGATAATGTTAAAATCAAAGGATTTCATCGCATTGAGCTGATCTCAGCACGGAGCCCTGAAGAGGTCCCCACGCTTCTACAAAGTCTGAATTCTACACCTAGCTTCTGGATTCTACACCACGCTTATCACAATTCAGAACTGGAATATACACCCCGTGGAGCTAAGGCCACAGCCGCAGGGACCTCCTCGCCGATGAGGCAGGGACATGACAGAATCGGTCCGGCCAAGTTGGAGACCGGACCTGACCCAGTCCGAAGAATAAGAGCCCACATCATAGCACATAGACTGAGCCCTACATGGATGTCACTTACCGCTGGTGCCTAACATGCCACTGCTCTGACCTTCACACCCGGCTGGGTAACTTCCTGCAGTGCATGGACCTCCAGAGACCCCTCCGCTTGCTGATGATACCGACAAGACTGAGGTACAGGGGAACTCTGACAGGCAAAGAGACAATGTTCCCACACAGATTGTCTTGAACCATACGATATGGGTACCCCACTTGGAGCAAATTTGGGAAGGATGCCATGGAGGGTATGCCTGGACTCAAATCAGCATCAACCGGGATGGAACTATGACCGCTTACTGACCTAGGCACGGGTGTGACATACAGGTGAAACAATGCCTTGAATGTTTCGGAAGATGGTGTGCCAACTTGCATGTTCTGTGGCCCTCCGCTCTTCCCCTCGCCCAGTGCGCTTGGGCATCATGCCAGCGTGCCCGGGGGCAGGGAGAGTTGTACGGTATGCTCATGCGAGCTCACGGACGGAGCTAATTTGGCACACCATCCCTTAATCTGGAAATGCCAATTGATGAGTGTGGGAATACTAGTGTAATGGGATAGGATGAGACGGGCAAACACACACCACGTAGAGGGTGGGCTGGGGAGCAGAACTGGCACTCATAGAGTGCGTGGGACTGGCCTGCACATCAGGTCTTCACTACTGATTGTACACACTAGTTACCACGAGATCTGCACCCACACCATTAACATATAGCCGCACACACGACATGAGGGTGGACCTTAATCAGGGCACAGGCGACATAGTGACCTTGCACCACATGGGGACATACACCATGCAACGCCAAAGGTTGCACAAGGGAGGGTAGAGGGTGGCAGGGGAGATTGGGCACCAACAAGAGGATCACCTGATACACTAGCAAGGGGAGCGGGTGGTATATATAGAGTTTGACTAGGGGTAGGAGGAAGATGGTACAAGGAGTTTGTGGGGGGGGGGGAGAAAAAGCAATTAATTTGAAAAAAAATCAACACATAAATAATAAGTTTTGGGTTAGGGGCTGGAAATGGAACTGATGGGGGGCACGCGGCGGGTGTGCGACATCTGGGTGGGCAGACAAGTCATATGCTGGGGTAGAAGCTCTCGCACTCTCAGAGCTTAAGAGGGTGCAAACACAGGCTCACATTCCATCACTTACACACATCTCTCACATGCGGGTTGGATGACCTCGGTAGAAAAGCTCAGATACATCACATGGTGGTGCGGGGGACCTACCTTGATGTTACATTCTTTTTGAAACACAGTTTATTTCTGTAATTAGTTAACACATTTCACTAATAGCCGTCCAACTGTTTTTGGCATTAGGTAACGGTGCGGTTCCCGGACAACTTTGTTTGCAGTTTTGAACCACTTTAAAATCGGCCAGGTGATCGCTTTTTGGAGGGAAGGTGCCTAACAATAAGGGGAACAAACTACCTAAGAGCCAGCCAGAGCACCCAGTATTGAGGCCTGCAGGAGCACCTGTAAGTTGACCGGCAAAAGCACCAAACGTCCTGGAACCATGTGTGCGGCCGGTCAGAACTTTAACACGGTGGCGTTTCCCCTACACTGCATAGATCTGAGCGCTAATTGGGGAACTTGGGCACTCAGATCAGGGCTATTTAACAATATAATATTTATGGGGGTTCCTATTTGTGTTATGTATATTTTTAATATTTTATGTTTTATGCTTAGTCATGCTGACACAGAGATTCATGGGCTTGTTGTGGGAGTGCTCTGGGCATGCTGTGGGAGTGTGGTGGGTGTCTTTGACTGTATCCCTGATGTGTATAAAAGCCGTTACAATTACTAATCCCCTTGTGTTGGTTCCTCTTCCCCCTCACCTTCTAATTTGTTGGAGCACCGATAGACTGCAGGGGGGCCCCTTTCCGCATGTCCCGGTCTGGATCCCTCTCGGGGGCTTGTCTACTCTTGGGACAACCTACACACAATCACATAGCTTACCCAACAAAGGAAAACTCTCCATAGCAGGAGTGGGTGACCTGCAGCATCCAGTGCATCTCCCTGCCCTTTAGCCCCTTTCTCATAAAACACTACCTGTGCCGGGGATGTCCTTCTTAACTGAGAAATTAAAGGTAGCATACACTACCCAGAGTGCCGGTACTGAGTTTTACCTAGGGCCCAATAGCCCATTGGGACTCACCTGGCTCTCTCTGGCCCTTAGCCCAAACAGCGGGAGCACCTATCGCATAACCCCATGGCTTATTCTCCCCATGGTCTCCCAGGAGGCAGCAATTCTTTGCTGTACTAGCCCACTGAGGATTCGCACCCAAAACTGCAGGGGACTGAACATCCTGGAATGCAGGATGCACCTTCTCAGGGGACTATGACAAAAACAAGTCTCAATCGCATTCCTACAGGAGACACACTTTATGGAAGGATTGGCCCCAGTCCTGAAGGACAGAACGTACTCACACAATTTGCTCAGCAACCACCATACTACCAAAAAGGCAGGCACTCGCCACTCTTGTGCATTAGGGTGGATGACGTTGGAGGAGGAGTAGCACCATCCCAGCATAGAGGGAAATTGTTGCTGGAATCAAATGAGTAAGTAAAGGGTTTTTTAACCCTTTATATGCACTGGGACCAGAAGGCTCTACAACTTTGTTTGTCTTGAAAAGTCTCTCATTAGAGATGAAATATGTAGGTGCTAGGATTCTACTGTTCCTGTTTCTGGCTTTTGTGCACTATAGCTTAAGGGCAAGCTGCAGCCTTTTTTGAAGTTACCAGCTGCTATCATCCAGCCTCGCTCTCAAGTCCATCTTAAGGGTGTAAGGCCTTGCAACCATCTGTTCCTGCATTTAAAGTGGCTTCAGCATCTTGGACCAGTTTTTTTTAATCAGGATTCAGGATCAAGTCTTTTACTCTTTTATTTCCCGCTGAGGGGCCCCCCACGGTCAGGTAGTTTTGGGACAGATCGTGTTGCATAGGTTTATGTTGCTTTTATCTAGAGATTGCCTATATTTGCTGCATGTTATCTTTCATGTGTATTGTCTTTTTTATAATTTTTATTTTTTATTTTTACGAGTATCTCATGGTTTAGGAGTCCAGCCCCCTTTTCTCCTGTTTGCATTCAGCTTGCATGCACCACTACATGCTGCTTCAGTTTATTTGCTACTGTGGCGGTTCAATCTGGTGACAATATCGGACACAGTTTCTATCTTCATTTTTATTTATTCTTTACATGTAGCAAGTTAGTTGCTGTCTCTATTTACAGATACAGTGTTGCTTCTGCTTTGGTTGTTACTCTGTCAGGTCCTTTTGGTTCTATAGTTTATAAATAATATAAACTTTATAAATATATAAAGTTTTTATTATTATTTATTTATATATTTAGTCTGTAGTGAGTTTTGGAGCACCCACACAGTTTTTAATATTTCTTCACAAGATTTAGGCTTCAGTCATTCCTTATAGATGTGTTGCTGCCAATCTTTTATTCAGTTTATGAAGTTGCCCCGATATATATATATATATATATATATATATATATATATATATATTAGACAAAAAATCAGCACTCCCAGGTAGTTTTCTCAGGAACTTCTTTACTAACAAACATTCCTGAGAAAACTACCTGTGAGTGCTGATTTTTTGTCTATTATAAGTTTAGCGCAATCAAGCACCGGGTCAAATAACTGTAAGTGGTAATGCAAGGCTTTTCTTTATTTTTCTATATATATATATACACATACACACTTCTAGCATTGTAAATATTGTATACATGTTACCTAGTTACAGAGCACCACGGAGGTCAGCGTCCCACATCATCATGCTGCACACGGGTGTCATGTGTACCGTGTGAGCACTTCTTAGGTCGCCCGGATGGTCACCATGAAGATTCCTAAATCACTTTATTTTTATCTATGTATTGTTTCTTTGTGTTAGAAGGGATAAAAAATTAACAAAGTGATTGAAAAAAATATGGAGTGCACCCTATTGTTTGGAATATATTTATAATGCGGGCCTGCACCAGGGTACAAATAAAAACTGTCTTGCTTAAGAGATTTGCAGTTTGCATTCCTAACACTATAGAATCCCTTTAACTGTTGACTAAACCTCTGTAACTTTATCATTTTCAATTTCATTTTCAAATCTCAAATTAGTCATTTCATAATTTTAGTGACGCTCGTTCCTGTTTCTTGCAAAAGTGGTCAGTTTTAAACAGTTCTTGGATTGTGTTATGCAAGAAAGTCTTTCACAATGTCGATTTACATAAACCTGCAGAGAAGTTGTTTTCTGAGATTTTAGGCTTTTTTTTTTTCAATAGAAATTGCTCTCTTATCTAAATTATTCTTATAGAATTGTCACAATGTGCGGCCATTGTTACAGAATCTCACTAAAATGCTGGTGTTTCCTGACATCAACTTTCTATTTTGATGTTGAATATAATTTTCTTTTTCATATAATTTTGATAAAGACCCGAGGGTCGAAAACGTTGGTTTCTTCATTTTTTGACACAATATAATCAACTTTTTTTGAAAATCCATTGAGTGATCTCATTCTTTCATCTCTTATATAATCTTTACGCTCTGCCTCACCCAGGTTGTTTGGAACTATATTACAGTAAGGTAGAGTGCCAGATTCTTTTATATATATATATATATATCACTGTTTAGTAGATATGCCTCCAATGAACGTATGCATGCCTTTATTTATTCATTTTTTTTTACATTGCTAGTATATACAAGAAAACAACAGTTTGTAAAAGCTGCAGATCTATTTCCTGACTAATTTAACAGCCCTCCTCCTTCTAACCCTGCCAATTCTGTCTGTGGCTGTCCAATCACTGATGTCCCAGGTGCTCTGAACAATTGCCTTCCTTTTGAGATTAACTCCACTGAGCTAACCAAACCTGGATGTGACAAGACTGGTTATCTGAGTGACAGCTAAGGGGGTGTAACCAGGCTAATTTATAAAGGGGCCAATTTCTATACAAATCTGCACTTTTTGTAAAATGAAAAAAGAGGACATACTCTTAACACGCAAAGCATTACAGCAAACTAAAAAGCTTTAGGGGTCCAGAGAGTCCCTTTAACTGGTTTTAAGGGAATTAACTCATTCATTAACAACTTAACACAGCTCAATAGGCAGATGAGACAGAAATGTATATATTTCCAGTGCTAATCCACTGACTGTTTTCTAAATACAGACATTATGCCAACAGATAAATGCTTGTATTCTGATATTATTTTGGGAATCTTCTTTCACAAAAAGGACAGTAAAATTCTCACATAAACCAATAAGCAGGAATTATGGCTATTTTATTGTTATTTTTTCAATGTAACCTACTGTATGATGTAAAATTGTATATTTGTAATTGTACTCTAATATTTTCCACTGGAAATATTGCAAAGGAATGGATACTTTGCAACACCCTAATTTGCAAAGAATGAATGCATGAATACATTTAAAATATTATTTAAATATACATAATTCTACTTTGCATACCTTTATTTTATTCCTCTTGGCTTTTCAATGAAGTACGTTGATAGGAATTCTAGATTAATTAGAAGATTCTTCAATCCAGCTGTGGCTTTAATGCAGCAATTTGGCTTAAAACTTAAAATTCAAGTTGGATTTCTGATAATACATACTTTATTGAATAACCCTGTGTCTGTGTTTTCATGCATATTGAGGTCTGCTGTGCATCCACTGCTTCTTATTGATCACCAAGAAGGAAAAACAGTTGTTGCAGTGGTAAATATGCATAAACAAAGTGACTTAACTCCTAAAATTCATAGTATTCAGCAGATACATTGCAGAGACATGCCTTACTCTTTTAACCAAAACCACTTAATTAAGCTAAAGATATTTCTGAGTGTCCCTATAACACGATCCATAATTGCAGATGAACTAATGCCAAATATCCATCTGCTCTATGTTGTAATTTCGCTTTCTGCGCGGCACTTTCTTTCTTGCAATTACGTTTAAAGCTGTCCATTTGCTACAATTTAAATTCTATTCTGCAGTCAAGTCTCCTTATTAAACATGTAGAATTATGCTGATACTAGTAACCTGGAACATTATGTCATCTTAAAATTAATCAACCTTATTTTTTCCTTTGTTCCGTGTAAACTAAACCAGTTAATTTGCCTATCTAGACATGCTAATTAACAAGAAAACTGTATTTCCAAAACAATGTTTTAAATACTGCAGGATTAATTTAATCAAACATTTAATGGGTCTGTAATTAATCTTGATGCTGTAAATGAATGGAGAGCCTCAAATCTAGCATAATTTGATTTACTGTGTGGGCTTGACTTTTACAAATGAACAAATGCAGACCTTAATTCTAAATTGACACATTTTTAATTACAGAATGAACTGGTTGTTTTCTACAGTATTCTGTTGTTTTAGAGTTAGTGACTCATTTCAACCGAAATGAGTTTTAGGTGAATTCATAGTGTTTAACAATAAGGGCATATCAATAAACAAACTGCCCTGTGACACTCTTGTATGACCTGCATCACTGGCAATTTTTATTTTTTTATTTATTTTTTTTACTCAGGTTACAGGGAAGCAAAATAAATAGTACCAGAGGTAATGCATTTATTCTGCAAATGAAGTTTTGCATTTTACCTCTGTCTTTTTCCAAAGAATAGAGGTTAATAAACAATACAGTTCAGTGGTTTGTGGTCCTTTATTATGTCTAGTACCCGCTCACGTCTTAGAGTCACTGATTTTATCCAGGAGGTTCAATTTAGCCTTTCATGTTTCTGAGATTGATACAATGATTGCCATAAATTGGGTAATTATCTACCTAGACATCAGGGCTTATTTGACAACTAAATGTATCCTTCCGGGTTAAATTGTTTCATATTATATCATGAATGTGCTCTAAATACTCTGTTAGTGTGTATGTGCATTTATAAGAAAGTCCAATGTAAAGATAGTATCCGAGACAGTGATATTACAGTATGTATACGGAGGGCACTTTCAAGAGTACTGTGACCGAAATTAAAGAGAAGCTACTGTGATGTACAGTGAATTCTTGGCCTTTGGCAAGCTCAGGCGAGCTCAGGCACTCGGAGATGGAACATCTGAAAGGTGCTCTATCATAGCATCTTTGGTTAATGGATTCTGGCTTTCATAGATGTTATGGCACTAAAGTGGAATATTTTCTGTAGTGGTCTCTACTGTGGGTGATATCTGCAAATTTAGGCACAGTCCATCTGTGAATCTAATATGGAAAATATGCTATGCCTACAAGAGAGATGATCATTTTGAGATAATTGTTGAATATTGTTGAGAGGCTTTTATGAAGTTTACAAGGATTTAATATTGATGCAGTTTAAAAGCAATCAACCACGTCTCCTCCACTAGTCCCATCCAAAGTTCAATTTTATTAGTGTTTTTATTTTGTATGTAAATATATTATGTCTAGTGTAACGTTTACAACAATTTGACAATTTGCATGGGTTTACCAGGCACCTGCATCACACCCGATCTTTTAATGAAGAAAATGATGGACTTCCAAGAGCTGAATCACAGTCTGCAAGGGGAAACAAGAAGCAAGGTTTGCAGGTGCAGACAATGAGTGGGACCCAGTTAAGTTTTTAAACTAATCTGAAACAGCATTACAAAGTACATTTTAAGAACACCAGAGCAGTGCTGGCACTATAACCACTGCAGTGAGTAGTTTGGCGTTTGGAATCTGCCTTCCATAAAAATAAATAATCTCATTTACAATTAAAAAATAACATTTAGAAAAAACTCCAAGGTGGACACCCTAATGAAATGTGCTATGTTTGTAGCTAATCACTGAGTTTAAACAGATTTTTTTTTTACAAAAAAGACAACCCAATGATTGAGGATAACACTAGTTATAATGCATTCTACAGATGATGCACAAAGTATATATCAAGCAAACAACAAACTGTCAAACAAGCCTGAAGTCAATGTTTAATATTGTTTCCTGTAGATTTGTTCTTTAGATAAAGACCTGAAGAGTGTCTGAAATTACTCATCCAATTACTTAAAGAGTGCACATGTGATTACTGTTAAATAATGCAAAGGAGGAACACCTTGTTCTGGTTATCCATGGATCAACTTTTGAATATCCAGCATTTGCACTAAACCATAAAAGTTATCTTACATCAAAGTTTCATATGTATTATTATTTTCCAGATCCATGGTATGAGTCTATACAAATAAATTGATTGCAAAAAATATTGTACCTGATAGAAACCACTTGTAAAAAAAATGGGAATAAAAATAAATCCTACAACGTGTTTAATATGTATTATATTTAGTAACTCGTAACTCGATATACAGGCAAAATAATTTTAGCCGTACTATACTTGCATTTTTCCTGTTCCATTAGTATATTTCTTTGAACACAGCAATGTCGGTTGAGAGAATGAGATCTGCCAGTGGGTGAGGGGATATGGAGAAGATAAGAAGTTGCCATGGAATTCTTTGTCCCTGAAATATGGTTTTGTTTGCACTTCTGATTAATAAAGCATTGTACTGAACATAATATCATCACACTGTGTGGCTTCATTGTGTTAGAAAAGTCACTTAGAAATGATGTTGCCTTTTTTGTTTGTGGACTGAGTCGTTGACTAGTTGCTTTATTCTGGAAACGC